CCAGTGAATTATTTTAGTTCAGAATAAAAAACAACCTAAAAATTGAATATAGATCGACTTTTTAAATAGGAAGAATAGAACACAAATGATTTCAATATGTAATGTCTATTATGGTTACAATACAATAAAATAGGTCAAATGTGTGAATAAAAACTGATAACCTGTTTAACATTTATAATGATTAAATGACTTGTTACCTTTTTCATTTTAATTTCAATCATTAAATGAGGCGGAAATTTCGGCACAATGAAATAATGTCTACATCAAAAACATTGTATTAGATAGAAGAAAACAAAGGACTACTAATATGAAACTACACAAGCGATTTTACACAGTAGATTAAGTGTTTTCATTGAATAAACATGACAATAAAAGGAAGTTATATGACAGGTACATATCTAAACATATACATACCCTCTAATACAAGTATTGATAAGAACAATTTATTGTCGTTTTCTTTCCCCGTTGATTGTTGTTATTGTTTATAGTAAAATATTTAAAAAAAAGTCAAAAATGATTTTCACACTTTCACACCTTATATCCCATTGATCAGTTAAGAAGAATCAAGATATACCTTATAAACAAGTTTATCTCACTCTTTCCTTCTGTGTGTATATGTGTGAGTTTTGGTAGGTAGTCTATTCTACCCTTATATTTGTGTTTGTCTTTTGTTTATTTTGATCTGCCAACATTTAGAAATTTTCTTTTGTGTTCATAAAAAATAAATACTATAGAAAACAACCCCCCCCCCTACATAAACAATAAAATAACATGTAGGTAAAGATTATTGATTTAATGTTAATATCAGTATCACTGTCATTATACCGTCAAAATGTTGTAATGAGGTCATTTTCATATTTTATCCTTTATTTATATAAATATTGATAACTGATTGTTTTTGATCAGTTAAAAGTGACAAGGATAAAAAGTAAACACCTTCATGAGGTGCTTCATTACAAAATTTCTATTTACAAACTCCTGTCCTAACAATGTGACATAAATGAAGAAGTGTATACATTTGATTTGATTATCACTAATTATGGTTATGTAAATAAACTGTCAAATAGAAGACAATTACTGAAGAAAAATGAATATAATGATGAAAAGATGAGTACTAAGGAAAACAATAAACAAGTGACACATTGCCTAGCCGACTACTATTAGTTGTTAGCTGGACTGTGGTTATTCTAGATACTGGTGGATCGAAACCAGGTCAATCAGAAAAAATAGTATTAACTGTGTTTGCATACTGGTAGTGTTCAAATGAGCTTCAACAGGTGACAAGGTATATTTAATCTTTTATAAATAAATGTTAAACTTATCATTCTTCCTAATATATTATGCTGTTTTTCCTTTAAAATAAAACTCAGTAAATTACCAGTTTGAGGATGGTTGTAAGGTAGGTTTACACTGAAATTTTCGGTTATTTTACAATGCTAGATTGTATTCCTTGCCTCGTAAGCAAAACTAATGGCAATTATAACCAAGGTGTTAGTCAAAATCTAGAATTATTCGATTAAATAATTCATTGTGAACATGAAGTTAAGATTTAAGAAAAAGTGAAGTAAAAATTGTTACTGAAAGTAGAATAGGGGATCAGTCGTTCTTTAATGCTATCAGTGTAATAAATTGAATATATTACTGAAATTCCATAGTATTTTTGCCAAAGTAAAGCATCAATCATCTTCTGTAATCAGAGGTTGTTTAGGTGATCTACCTAGATCTGTTCGTTACTTGAATTCCAGCTGTCTAAATAAGGTTTGGTGGAATGAGACACCATAACATTGAAGTCAACACAAAAAATAATAATACTAACCCTCTACAGGATATGATTTAATACCTATATTTAATGCAAAAACAGTTTTCACAATATAGAAATTATTCTTAAATATTCCTCAATGACACGCATTTTGTAATTCAAGTATTAAATCTTGTAAAGTTGAAAACAGTCTAACCCTTCCAGGTTTTCAATGGCAGTCTAACAATTATCGACTCATAATCTTAATAAGATTTGAAGGAGTTTTGTGTAGATTTCAGTATTTTCATGGTTGTAATTATTAGTCGATTAAAGCTCAGACTTCGTGGATTGGTTGAAGTTAGACATTAACACTGTTCGATGCTGGCTCAGTGGTCTATCGGTTAAGTGCTTGCGCGCGCGACTGGTAGGTCCTGGGTTCGAGTCTTGCGAGGTGAGATCGTGGATGCGCACTGCTGAGTCATCCCATAATAGGACGAAACGGTCGTCCAGTGCTTCCACGTTTTCGATGGTGGTCTAGCTTCATTCGGCTAATGATTTCAACTATTAATAAGATTTATTTGTTCATTTTCTTCAACTGTCTTATTGTCACTATCCAGAATTAGTTTCTATAGTATTCTTATTTGAAATATCATACTCAATATTTGTACAAATCATAATAGCAAAATATTTCGTTATGGATCAATATTTTTGTTTATTTACAGTTGCTGAAATATACTTATAAATGATAATAACATTATTTACTTAATTAGTGCACATTTACAAGTTAGTAAACAAAACAGGTTAGTTTCCCCTCTGATAACTTTCTAATTACACAGAGCGAAAGTAAAATAAACGGAAGAAGAAAAGTATTCAAAAGAATAGTCTGTTGTGATTGACTTAGATTAAGGATGATATTCAACATGAATTGGCACCAACCTTCTATTCTATAGAGAAGTAGTCAGATTAGTTTTCAACGACCGACTATAAATGTTTACTCATAAATAACTATGAAATGGGTTATCAGAATTTTTAGAAGTCAGGGCTAATGAAGTTCAATCATATTAAGACGGAAACAGTTGCCACTGATTAAATAAAATAATTGTCACTTTGCATCACTGATCGACTGAAGAACATAATGTGATCCATAAGATTATATTGCTTTCACTATGCATGTTCTGGAGTTCAAAACCTTAGTAGTATCTTGAGTTTATACTATTGAGAAGTTCAATACAAAGAAGATACAAATATCTGGTATCCATTGTTTCCACACGTGATATCAAACTGTGGCAGGCACCATCTTTAGAAAAATATTTATGTGCACTTGAATTGCTCCTTTATGATTTAGTAATAAAACAACAAAGTCTTTTATTTTTCTTCTGTTTGTTTTATCAAGCCATTTTTTAACACTTACATTACATTTGGTAAAGTACACAAAGTCTCAAAAACACATTGCATACCCTTTTTCACCTTTGTATATAACTACATTCATATCTATTCATGTATTTTTATGTTTAGATATATTTGGTAAATGTCTATTTATTGATTTGGCACCAGATTGTCTAGTTTATTAATAAATCAGTCATGTTGTTAGTAGTTAACACAATTGAGTTAAACTATTTGCACAGAGTTACCATTAACAATGAATTAATTAAAAGAATTTCGAGTGAAGCATAAAAAAAAAGAAAATCCATTACAAATCTATTATACACGTAAGAATAACTGAATAGAAACATCTTATCTATTCTTTTGCAAGTTAACTACCATTGTATTAAAACTGTTGGCAGGTAATATCTCAGTATGTATATGAATATACTAATGGGATCCACTATTTGTAATTATATATATATAGTCAAGATTCATTTGTTCAATGTTACTATTGTGAAGTTCATAATGTTTCGAATTTAGAGGTCATTTTATTTATAAAATAATATGACATTGAATATTTTGGTCATTTGATTAAAATAAAGTCGAATTCAATTTTAATTGTTGAGATCATCAATCGATTGAAGTTAGACCACCATGGAAAATCTGGAAGCTCTGGAAGGCCGTTTCATTCTATTGTGGGACTTCTTAGCAGTGCGCATCCACGATTCCGCCTAGCGAGATTCTAACCAAGGACCTATCCGTTTTGAGCGCGAGCGCTTAACTTCTAGATCACTGAGACGGCATCCGACGGTGTTAATTTCTGACTTCAATCGATCCACGAAATTGAGTGACACATTCAATTATTTGACAGTTATAATAAAATATATCTTATACATATTGATGAATAATTAATTACACACTATAACCAATTGGCTGTCCAATGCTTCTAGGTTTTCCATGATGATCTAGCTTCAATTGACTGATGAACTCAAGTCTTAAATTACTAAAATCTCCACAAAACCCCCTTCTGATATTTATATTGGATTATTATTTCAGGTAATTTAGTCACGATTTTAATGATTTTTTATAATTTGTAGATTGACAACTTATAAAGTACTCAATAGTATTATTATTAATTAAACATATCAATCATAAAATATCAAACATTTACTATACAAACTTTTTGTTAAAATGAAGAAAATTCACTATCAAATCATCATTATTAATTTCTCCCTAATTTCATGACATAATTTTAAAAGTTTGGATTAGTATTGGCGAGACTGGTAGGTCCTGGGTTCGAATCTCGCGAGGCGAGATCGTGGATGCGCATAGCTGAGGAGTCCCACAATATGACGAAACGGCCGTCCAGTGCCTCCAGATTTTTGATGGTGGTCTAGCTTCAATTGATTCATGATCTTAACTATATAGAAAACATTTATTATAGACGAAGATTTATTTATATAAATTCAAAAATTTATTGGAACTATATTTGAATGGTTTTTATATGCTTCATATACATTAGTTGTTAATCGGATTTCCAAAAAAATTTAACGGGATATGATTTGTCACTTATTAACCAGTAACTCGTTGTATGGAGACAATTGATTTACATATGGTTTTTAAATTAACCTGGTTTTATCAACTTATCAGTTACAAGACATTTAGGTTTATCAATTAAACAATCAAATTTAGAAGTGAACAGTTGTTATAACTTGTGGCCGAGTGGATGCCTTGTTAACGTATGACGTGGTAAGACCAATGGTGGTCTACCTTCAATTGACTCATGATTTCAACTATGAAAATACTGAAATCTTCACAAAACCCCTTCCAAAATAAATTTTTTGTTAATGAATGAATCACAATGTGTATTTTGATTTTTTTCTTTTTGTTCACCCAGTTCTAGAAAAGAAACCATTAAAATCACTATGAAATAGTAATTCATCATATATCGTTCTCTTACAATGTCGTTTAATAATGAAATCTATAATTTGCCAACCTCATTATCTAATGAGACTGAAAAATTAACCAGAATGAATTTTGACAATTGTGTATTGTTTAATAACTACGAATTCACTAAATTATCAAATTCTTATCCATCTATTAATTGGCATAGTAACATCAATAGTCATGACATCTCATATACAAACGAATTACATAATGAATCAAATTCACTTACAGAATCAAATATATTTCATTCCATTAAAAATATAAACTATAACAATGAAACTTTATCAAATATCAATACTGGTAATCCATTAGATTACTCTATAAATTCTTTAATCAATGATAAAAAGAAATCAACATTACCAATAATCAGATCATCTTTTTTAACTGATCCAAATAAGAATCATAATTCAATACAATATTCAAATGATAATGACAACCTATTCAACATATCACCATCTACTTGTTCAATTGAAAACACTTCAAACTCAATGAGAAATATGATCAAAAGTCCTAAAATGAATGAAGAACTTACATTGAAACGTAAATATTCTAAAAATCTTTCTAATTCATCTGCTAAACAGTCTAAAAAGTATATGAGAGTAAATTATAATAGCGATACTGGACAAAATAAGTTCATTATTGATCACAGTAATAAAAATGATAACATTAGTCATTTTTCAACAACTGATCCACTATACACCGATAATTTAGTCAAAGAAACATCAGCTTTAAAAAAGACTACAGTTTCTACAACCGAATGGAAAACCAATAACAGTACAGATTTTAAAGGGTATAATAAAAATCACATGGATAGCATAAAATTAAGTAAAACTGTTCAATCAGATGATCAAAATATTCCATTTAATAATAACCATAATGAAGTTAATGATAGTAATGACAATGATAACAATGACACAACAATGACTACAATCTCCACAGGAGCTTATAAATATTTAACTTGGCGTGAGAAAGATCGTAGACGAAGATTTCGTGAAGAATGGAAACATTTATGGCTTGTTATACCATATGGACGTTATGAGGTCAGTTATTCAAATTAAGTATTAATTCATTTGACTGATGATTTCAACTATGAAAATACTGAAATCTCCACAAAACCCCTTCTGTTAATGATCATACGCTCACTAGTGACTGTCTCCATGAGGTATTTATTGGAGTTCTAGTGGGAAGCAGTAACCAGTGGAGTTCAACCAGGTTTGTTGTTGAGATATCAACTCACTGAAGACAATTAATGAACGGTTTCTCAACTCCGTGGATTGGTTGAAGTTAGAAATTAACACCATCGGATACCGGCTCAGTGGTCTAGTGGTTAAGCGCGAGACTGATAGGTCTTGGGTTTGAATCTCGCGATGCGGGATCGTGGATGCGCACTGCTGAGGAGTTCCACAATAGGACGAAGCGGCTATCTAGTGCCTCCATGTTTCCCATGCTGGTCTAGCTTCATTTGACTCATGATCTTAACTATATAAAATCAATTCATTTAGTTAAGAAGTAAGATTACTTATTTTGCAAATATTTAAAGCTAACTAATGGAACTATAAGTGAATCAATATTGCATAAAATTTAGCTCATAACGTTTTCAGAGCAATATGATTGATTCTCTCTTATACATTTACACAAACCAGTTAGATCATTATTCTGGCTTGGAAAATCCTGAAAGTATTCGATCAATTTAGTAAATTTCCATGAATAAAATAGATTAACAACTGATCTCATTTCAAGTTATGTGATTTTAAGTAAAGTAAGCAAATTTTCCTTCTTAACAAATCAATACTTTCGGTGATTAAGTTTGTTCCATTTAATTACTAGGGGCCTTCAATTAAAAAGGTCTAAAGCACCACATAAATGATATTTCAGTCATTTTTACTGTTAATTTTATCATTCTAATGTAGATAATTTATTTAACCAAGTTATCTTAAATGAAAGGTATATTTTGGTTCTAGTCCAAAAAGGAGCATATTTTGACAGATGATTTAAAGATGTTTGAAGATTAAAATAGTTTGTATTACACATTTTATTAAATATTACTGAATGGTTAAAGTGTTGTGTGGGTTACTGATATCCACATAATTAGTATATTGGTGATCGTCAGGCATTGAATGTATTTCAGTGGAAGATCGAATGGTAGAGAATGGGAACGGCATGCAATTGGTACGAAAATGCATGAACAATTATAATCGGAGACGATGAATAGAAATTTGCAGAATAAACAGTCAAATTGAGACAATTGATTGTTATTTTGCAAATTAACTGTTCACTATATGGTTCTCATATTTTAATGAGATATTCGATTGTCCGCACCCGTGTTCTTGTTCACAACAAAAGTGTTAATATTATGCTGTTCTTGACAATAAATTGAACAATCTGAACATACCTTGTACACACACTCTCCTAAAATATATCTCAAGTTAGTAACTAACTGTACACATCTTTAAAAGAAAAAAAAGCAAATGTGAAGGAGTTAGTGACTTTTCAACAAAGTAATGAAACAATATCATTACTATATTTTAATAATGAAGTACAATTATTCGTTATTATTTTCATTTCCTTCAATTTACTAAACTTGTTATGAGACAATGTGTTAAGCTTCTATTTTGTGTTAAATTATTAAATCACAAGTATTTATCAATAAGATAGAAACACAGAGGATATAGTTATAAATTGAGGTGGTGAAGAAGATTTATAGCTCAGGTAGATAATTTTGATAAAGTTTTGTTCTCTGAGATGAATGTTTTGATCGTGAAGTTTTCATCGTTATTCTGAACAAACTCCTACTCGAAGTTTGGACTGATGATATCGTTCAGAATAACAATGAAAGCTCCACGACCAAACCATTCAGCTCAGAGAATAAAACTCCATCAAAAACAGTTACCAATTATTGTTCATTTAAACAATGAGACAGTTGTAATTTTGAAATTGTGAATGCAAATATATATATTTTTAAACAAAAAAGAAAGTCAGAGTGAGAAGAAAATGAACTTAACTAACCAGACAGATGAATGAATACTCGAAAGAATGTAGTAGTAGTAGTAGTGGTAATAGTAGTAGTAGTAGTAGTAGTAGTAGTAGTAGTAATGGTAATAGCAGTAGTGTGGTGTGGTCTACTTATATCCATATAAGTAGTATATGGTGTTGGGCAGACATAGAATGTATTTTGGCAGAAGACCGATGAGCAAAGAACTGAAACGAAGCGCTATCGGTAGGAAATTGCATGAACAATGAAATTAGAGAAGAAACGGTGAAGATTGAAACAATTGCTTGTTAATTTGCAGATTGACTGTTTATTGTATGGTTGTCAGAATTTACTGAGATAGTCTGTAATTTTTGCTTAAATACATTCGATTGTCCCCAACCAGTCGTGTTCTGTTCACTACAGTAGTAGTAGTAGTGGTAGTAGTAGTAGTAGTAGTAGTAGTAGTAGTGGTAGTAGTGGTAATAATGGTAGTAAGTATAACATCCCATTAAATATCTCTTATACTCAATCATACATGTCAATATTAGCCATAAAAAATAATAGTCTCAATGAATTTTGATTAAACTGTCATTTATACCATGTATCCATTACAATTTTATTATTTTATTTTTCTTTCTACTAAAACGAATTATTTATTATTTATGATTGACAATAGTCTTTACATTACACTTTTTTTAAAATAAATATTGTTTAAATGGCGATCTATTAAAATGCACCCCCCACACAGATACACACACAAACACTAGTCATCAATGGAACTAAATTTAAACTTTAAAAAAATTGTAACTACCATTATAAAATAACCTATATGATTCATTTAAATGTACTTTACATTGAATATGTTAGTAACAAGTATAGTACAATTTAAATGATAGACATGTTTATAAATGGAAATATAAATGACAAGTCATTGAGGATAATGAATACATTATATGTACTAGTATATAGTAATTTATGTGAGGTACATACATATTTCATTTATGGAAGTTAATGTTACTTGATCAAATCGATTTTTAATTGAATCAAATAAGTGAATTTAAAGTAGAAAGAATAATGAACTGATATAAATCTTATATAGTTGAGATCATGAGTCATTTGAAGCTAGACCACCATGGAAAACCTGAAACCACTAGATGTCCATTTTTTCCAACTGCGGAACTCCTCAGCAGTGCATATCCTCAATCCCGCCTCACGAGATTCGAACCCAAGACCTACCAATCTCGCGCCAGAGCGCTTGACCTCTGGACCACTGAATTGGCCGGTATCCGATGGTGTTAATTTCTAACTTCAACCAACCAACCGTTCACCAATTGTCTTTAGTGAGTTGATATCTCACAACAGACTTGGTTGAACTCCACTTGTCACTGCTTCTTACTAGAACTCAACGAAACATCTCTTGAAGTCAGTCATTAGTGAGCACATGATTATTATCAGAAGGGATTTTGTGGAAACGGTCGTCCAGTACTTCCAGGTGTTCCATGGTGATCTAGCTTCAACTGACTCATGATTTCAACTATGAAATTAAAACTATTACAATAAATATTCTATTTTTTTTTAAAAAAAACTTATTTTTTTAAGGTTATGTGCCTTGTGTGCCATAAAGTTATGACACAAAGAAAACTGGATACAATTAAACGACATAATGTTCGACGACATAATGAATTACAAGGAATGTCTCATTCAGAAAGACAAATGTTATTTGATAAATTATTGAAACAACATAATATAAATGATGAAACCATTGAGAATACATCAGATAGTTTATCAAGTAAACTATCTAGAAAATTAAAAAATCAATGTAGATCTACCTCCGATAACAATCTAACTAACTCTTCAAATAATAAAGATTCAAATGAAGTGGTAGATGGTTTACTACAAGATACAAATAGTTGGTTACCTAAACAAATTTCTGAAATCAATCAATTATCAAATCCAATTATTAAAAGTCTTTCTTCATCAATGAATTTATCATTTTCTGATTGTATACCATACAAAAGAAATAAACGATTGTTTAATAAAATCGATAAAAAATTGTATACAACTACTGAATTGATAGAAAATACTACTAGTAAAAAAAATAAACGTTTACCTAAACAACTACAAAAAACTCCACATTGTTCCTTATCTAATTCTATAGAAAACTTAAATGACAATTGTAATCTATCTGTAAGTATAAATCCTCTTCAAAGATTACCATTTATTGGATTGAAGAATTGTTTTGATTCATTAGACATTTCCACTTTAGAAGATCAATTGAAAACAATATCCGATAAAAAAACATTTGTCTCGGATGTTACATCGTCGGTTTCAATGATTCAACAATTATCATCAGTTTCAACGATATCTCATGTATCAACTTATTGTTCTTTACCATTTTCTTCGCATTCTTCATCTGTTTTACCTTCTAATTATCATATAGAAAGAATGAAACATTTCATTAAGTCATTTATTCCATTGAATCATAGTCCATTTTCACAATCATCATCACCTACAACATTACCGTCATTATTCTTACCAACATCATGTCACACAATGGATAATTCAAACAAATTTACAATGCCTAGACCAGGTAATGAATTAAATTGCACTAGTGTAGGCGATGACATATTTAATACTAATTTAATGAATTCAATGAATAAAGGAAATCAAAATATTCCATTTGAAATTGGGGAACAAATTGTAATTAATGAATATAACAAAATAATGTCAGATAAATCTTCAGAAATAATGGTCGATGAAATATTAAATGGCAAGAAATATCCATCAAACAATTATATAAATGATAATATGAGTGAGGAAATATCTCCAGTAAAGCAGTCTTATCCATTAAATGTAAATGAACGTTTAAAATGCTTAAGATCATCATCATCATCATCACCACATTTGTCAAATAATTTAGTAAGTTTATTTATAGGATACTAACTGTTTTTATTTACATTTACGTTCTTAAACCAATATTCAGTAGACTACCACTTTTAATTGATCAAAAAGTGTTATTTCTGAGAGTTAGAGTAAGACAAACAATAAAAAGTTATTGTGAAAGGCTTACATGGTATAATATATCTTAAAAAATAGCTTATGAATGCAACTGTTTGCTTTCGTACAGAGCTGCCAAACGGAAATAAATCCACCTCCGGACATATTCTTCGGGGCTGTTTTTGTGAATCATTTAAATGGTAAGCCATGTTTTCCGTATATATTTAGGCGAATTTTGCAATAACTTGACTAATATGTCATATAAGAATTTTGGCGAGACTGTAATTGATGGACGAGCAAATCAGAAGTGTTTGAGGGATTTCAAAGTCACGGCGCCTATTTCAGTATCTGATACTCATGTACGATCGGTTCACAGAGAATTTTAGAAAAGACTTGACAATTAAGCGGCTACAACAAACGAAACTACTTAGAAGTTTCTGTATTTGTAATTACGAGTATTAAATGACTTGTAGAGCTTGTGCAGACTACCGTGATGTTGTCCTTCGATGTAAAATATGTTAAACGAAGACGTTTGCTAGAATAGGAACCTTCATTGCTCGATCCAGATCAAAAATAAGGCATATTATAATAATTACAGCCAACTGTATAATAAAAGCATCAGTAACATTGGCTGCAATAATCGAAGATGTTACTGAAGCTTCGGCTGTTCAGAGGTATGAGTATTGTAGGGACATATTCATAATAAAAATGATAAACTTACAAACCGGAGTACACACAAACAATAATGAAGCTATGTAGTCCTGGCTGAGAGGGTTTTTATGACCTTATCATGGTTCCAGAGAGCAACTATTATGGAGCCATATGGATGAGTTCCTCTACATTATGTATTACGATTTTGGAACCTTTTTCTAACATTGACATGTTTTTGGACCATATAAAAGAAGTGTATCCACTTTAATGATTTGGTTTCGTATGATATATTTTACTCTATGCTGACTGTTTACTGATTGGCTAACATTTCTCAAGATCACTAAAGATTCGTTCAAAGGTCGTCCAGAAATTATAGTCTCGCCAGAATTTCTTTAATATGGATTAATGTCAGTCACTAGGTTCCATGGATATTTATCGAGAAAATCTGGAGTCAGTATACAAAATAGTAAGTAGAATTAAATGTGTGTGATTAGTACACATGAATAATAATGAATTATACCTGGGGATTTGTAATAAAGGGATATTATTCGGAAAATGACACCATCCATTCTTTTGCGTAAACTGTTAATAATTTGATAACCCTAAACATCCTGTTTTTCCTGTGAGATTCATTGGTTAATTATTTATAAACTCTTAACTAGGTATACTGAATTAAATTGTTCGACGTAACAAAAAAGTTAGTTTAGAGACTGAATGTCAAATATAATGTCACTGGTAGGAAAATAGGTTTATCATTTGTAATTCTACTCAATACTAACCAAACAATGAACAATAGTGTACAACTTGGAAACCATGAATTAGGCTATCAAACATATTTTGTAAAGAAAAATAATACTATTTTTTACGAGTGGAACTAACAGAAACAGTTTCTGTTATATGGCTACAGTTTTCCTGGGGGGAGGACTGTTGACGATTTCTCAATTACTTGTATTTCAATTATCGTTATTCTGAATGACTTTAAGTGAACTTTCTATTGACCATTATATGAAACTATTAACTAACTGTAACCATTTCACTGGCATATTTTATCAATAGAATCCAATTATCCCTGAACTATCTCCACTCATGATGGCCTCTTGGGTTGCATCCAATGAAAATTCATCAAAAACCTCGAATCCCAAAACATTTAATGAACATTATTCAAATTTACTTGAGCCTACCTGGAATATTCAATCGAACATCGATTCAAATAAATTAATTGAAACTAAACCAACAGAAAAATTCACTTTTCCAAAACGTTCAACAGATCGATTTCAATATGATTATCATGAAGTCAATCTACAAACTATGAATTCAACAGATTTGAAATTAAATACAAAATCCAATTCAAATCTAAATAAGTTTACTATTTCATCTTTATTGAATACAGAAATTTTTGATAAGACAAAATCTGGATCAGAAAACATGGAACAAGATCATTACACTCATTCATTTCGAAAATATAATCCGAAGAAAGAAGCTACAAAATTTATACCTAACTCTCAATGTCTTTCATGACATTTCTTTTATTAATTTAGTTGTCATAAAATTCAATCAAATACTGGTTCAAACTGATCTATCGAGTTGTATATATCTATGTAAGAATATTTGTTGCTAACCAGCAATACTTCCAAATACAGATTGATACATTCAAAAGAAAATAACTAATATTAACTATACAAATTGGTATAATCCTATGGTCCATTTTGAGAACTAAGAGCAGAATATCAACTACCCTTCAATTCATATGATATACGACTACAATCTGAATAAACAAATTTCATTTAGGATAATAAATACTACTTAATTCATTGTCTTTATTGAATATTGAAATTAATTGGAGCGTTAAAAGTTCAATCAGTCTATTTATTTTATGTTCATTGTTAAAACATTTTCCTGAGAATATTCAATCATAAAGTATCTTTATGAATAACAAATGTTAAGTGATAATTAAATGATAGTAAGTCATTCTTTATCTTTATTACAAAGTGATTTTCGGATAGTTTATTAATGATATAACTTTATAGACTAATAAACAATTGAACTGAAGTTCATTTTTTTAAAGTTGACATGTATATAACGAATGAATTACCAATAAGCTATGATGAAATCTCTGTTACGATCGTATAACTTATATTCTGCTCATTATTATTATTAAGAGTATAGTCTAAATGACATAAACTTAGTGAGTTCTAAAACAGGTAAAATAGAAAGTTGTAAATGTTATGTAATCTTCATCATAGATTAATGTCAAATGGGAAAAAAAGTGATCAATAACTAGTTCATTCAAGTCTGAGTCTTATTATCAATGTCTGTTTATTGCTCTACATTAAATTAATCCTAAGAACTATAGGTATCAAACATTCTAAATTGTTAAAATATATGGTGAGATTATAATTCATCGATGACCTTCGAGCAAAGCTAAAGTGACCTTGAGGATGAATGCCTACTGATTAGGGCTGAATGAGGGTCATAAACCAGTTAGAATTATGATTTGTAGTTGATAATTAAAGTTACAAATTATATTTAGGGGTTTCATCACGAACTGACATCAACTAAAATGCCAAAACGATATTTAGACAAATGGATAAATCAATTTTGCCCAAAATTCAAGACTCTTTATCTTATATCTGATTGGTTCGTTCATAAATTATAGTTGCGCCAAATGTATTTGTCTATTTTGTGAAGTTATACATAATGTGAACAATTTTGATTTTCTTAATTTTTTAAATATATTTAAACTATTTAACCTTTATTTCTTGTTACTACCTTACAGATATCTAAAAAAAAAATGAACAAAACAATCAATTACACTATTTTTCAGTAAAAAAACGGGAACCCCCTTTAGTGATACCAAAGAAAAAAATTCAAAACTTTTAATTATATATCCATAATCTTTCAAATGTGGTTAGCAACTATCAATAAAAGAGAGTTCATTTTCTAACAAAAAGAAGGTAGTTGAGAAAAAGTTAATTGAATATAATCAAGATATAATGAAAACTTATTCAAACCATTTTTATTCATCTATAACATTAAATGTTATACAATAAGTAAACGTAATAATAACTTATGGATTCAATTTATATTTTATTGAATATGTTTAATGATGTAAACAATCATTGAAACTTACTACTGATAAATAGTCCTTTTTTTTAAAAACTAAAACAATGATATAATGTAAATATGATTTAGTATACATATATAGTGTACATTTCAATGTAGTTGTGATCTTTTATCTTTCCAAGATTCAAACTATCAAATGATCTGAACTTAATCAAGAAATCTTATTGTTCCCAAAGCAGTTACACGGTTGTTTTGTTTTGTTTTTGTTTTTTCAGTAAAAAAACACATCTTAATCCACTTTTGTACATATTGAATTTCCTTTTAAAGAACATGAATTAAAAAAAAACAAACTAAATCAATCAATTTATTCTTTTAACCTTTTAACCTTTCTCTTATCAATCATTTATTATTCATATAGTTCTTAAGTTTCATTTATTATCCCATTTTCTTCTTAGTTTTCTTTCTTTTTTTGTTTTGTTTCTTTTCTTGTTTTTGAATGTTCCAACGAATTATAATTTAGGAAAAAATAGTCGATATTATGTAATAATATCTTCATAGAATTTATTATTTTGTTAAGAGATTTCATCTTTATAGATCTTGAAAGTATTTTTTTTCCTTCTTTTTCTTCTTTATAAATATAAAACTGCATCCTATGATAATGATGAATTTTTATAATAAAATATATATTGAATAGAATTAATACATAATTTTCTTAGTTGAAATCATGAGTCAATTGAAGGTAGACCACCGAGGAAAACATGGAAGCACTGGATGGCCGTTTGGTCCTATTTAAGGACTCCTCAACAGTGCGCATCCTTGACCTCGCCTCTCGAGATTCAAACCCAGGACCTACCAGTCACGAGCCAGAGCACTTTACCCATAGACCACTGACCCGGCATCCAATGGTGTTAATGTCTAATTTCAACCAATTCATGAAATCTGAGCAACTTTTCATCAATTGCGTTCAGTGAGTTCCTATCTCACAACAGATATGGTTGAACTTCACTGGTCACTGCTTTTGACTAGAACTCCAGGAAATATCTCTAAAAGTCAGTCACTAATGAGCATATGATTATAAACCGCTTCTGATCATTACATAATTGATCGGAAGAATGTGAAATAAAATTGAAGTTTATTAATGTATTACATAAGAGTTTTTCAATCATTATTTTAAGTAAAATGTTCATTATTAATTTTGCTAATCTAGTCTGTTTGTCTTGTGTATATTTAAAAATAACTAACTTGATATAAAAAAACCTGATTGGGACGTTAATTTACCTTCGACGAATATCTACACTACATTCCTTCCCAGTGTCTATTCTACAGGACTTCAACACAACTCAGATCAAGAGCACGTGATTAGCCTGACTAGAACGTGAATATATTTCCACACCAAAACGCGACACAATTCAACAACAATAAACAACCAATCAATAATAATAAATAATAAGGATAGGGGAATATATAACTCATCTGACACCTGTCAGACTATCTACATATCTGATTAAGCAGACAACCAATCATTATCATTCTTGTCCACACATGAATGACTTTTCAAAATCATAAAAACGATAAGTCTTCTAGTTGAACGTTAGATTCTATTCTTAAGCTCCTCTATTAACCTCCAGGCTAAATCTAAATGACAACGTAAACACAAAAGAAAAGGTGAAAAATATGGAAGAAACGCTTTACTTCGAGGTCCGTTTATGTACAGAAAATCTAGGGTATTTATAATATTTTAGATGGCCATAGGCCTCAGAAAAAATTCTGGAACGCTACTAAATATAATAGTAGTATAGGTAATCATCCAGTCAGAAACGTGACATATGACTTTCCATTTTCTAGATGTTTCTGGCAAAACTTCTATTGAATGCTGATTGGATAAGATGTTTCTCAGCGTTTTCAGAGCCTTTTTTGAAATATTTTCTGGATCTCCCTAATAAAAGATGTATTGTTTTAAAATTTAACTGAATATCACTTGTCACGATTTTAACAGTCTAAATCCAATTTACTTAGAGTATCAGTTACATAATTGCTTTCTTAATACGAACATCTATCCAATATAGGAATACTACTGAAAAATCACATACTAAAGCGAGATGGCCTTCAAGTGCTTCCACGTTTCTAATGGTGGTTGAGAGATCATTTGGAAATTTCAACTGCGAAATTACTACAATCTCCAAAAATCCCTTAAACTAACAATAACCATGTATTCAGTAGTGACTAGCTTCAACATGTAGCACCTAAAGTTCTATTGAAAAATTATGACTAGGGGAGTTCAATCCATGTCGGGTGTGAGACAGTTACCCACCTCACCCAGTGGACGAAGGTTGCCCAATCTCGTGAATTAATTCAGGCCAGACTCTAACATCTTATTATGCTAGCTCAGTGTTTGAGAATTTAAGCATTCGCGTGCGAGACTGAAGGTTCCGGGTTCGATTTTCTGTGGTGAGGTCGTGGATGAGCACTGATAAGAACCACACTCGGAAGAAACGGCCATCCAATGCCTCTAACTTTTCAATGATGTCCTAGATAAGATTATTTCATGCCTTAGACTATGAAGACATACTGTAATTAAAAGAAGAATACATTCTAATGGCCAAAGAAATTTGGTAATTTTAGAATGAGACATTGCTTTTTATATTTATATCACATTAATATATGGATTTTGTGACCCCCAATGATCACCAGTTGTATTCGTTTCCACCATAGTTAACTGACATTATAAAATTATACTTTTTTATTATTAATATCAGTGAACAAAATTCGGTTACTATATGAGTAAAATAAATGTAAAAGGGCTATAGAAGGTGAATCTTTAGTCAATAATTTATAAAAAAACGTCTTAATAATAGTATCAAAAGTATGTGATATGAAAGTTTAACTTTGATTATGTTCATTCAATGTATATACGCAACTTTGACATATATTTAAAAGGATTGCTCAACATGTGTGTCTCGGACGATATGCATTCAGTTAAAACTAGAATCCTTGGATGACCCTCTAGTCCATAGCATAAGACTCCTTAGCAGTGCGCATCCACGATCCTGTGCGTGGTATTCGAGCTCAGGACCCTCGGTCACGCACGAGAATGCGGTTCATGATCTCAATCAAAACTCAACGATCCCCACAACCCTACACTGAAAACTAAAATCATTTAAAGTTTTAACCATAAACGGAGAATACATTTAATACTTTGATTTTGATGGAGTTTTGTTCTCTGAGCTGGATGGTTTGGTCTTGGAGCTTTTATTGCCCTTCTAAACGACACCATCAGCGCAAACTTCGGGTAGAAGTCAAGTGATTGAATTTCCCCATATGTGGTTCACAGCTTGTCCTGTGCAACTCGATGTTGATTGGTTCTTGTTGACCTTAAATCTGTCATTGTTTATTTCTTTGTTTTGGTTGTATCTCCAAAATCATCCACCTGAGCTACAAATCTTGCTCATCATCTC